TTAAAGTAACTATTGTGGATTTCATTGACTGATGAAGCAATGTTTTGGTTTGACCACCACTGGCTACTTTCCAGTCTGACCCTATGTCAGCTAACATGGCCCGTCGAGGAAGGCGGTGGCTAGACATGCTCATGACCCCACCGCAGATGGTCATGTTTGATAAAGTGAATATATATGTATATATGTTTGTTATCACCCAACCTAACTACCAACATCAGAGAACCCTGGAGTGAATGCTTTCATTCCACTGAAGTCTTACCTCCAAGGAATCGATTCTTATCAGATGCATAACTTACTACTACCACTTCTTGTATCGTTAGCCATAGTGTGGTATTTTTACTATGACGCCAGGTAGCTTTACAATTAATCAATGAACTTCTTTTAAATGTTATCACCGCATAGCTATTGCATCACTGCAATATATATTAGTTCAATTATACACTGTCCAGCTTACTACTAAGAATTAATGGAATAACGACACCTGAATTGAAAGTGAGAAGTTTATAATGAAAGCACTAAAGCTTTAGGAGATTTTCAAACCAGAATGAATCACAAGCGCGTAAGTAATTTTACATCATTTTTAGCCCTCACACAGTTGGTATAGCACTAGAATATTTCAAGCAATAAACCAATGATACGCTTTCTTCCAAACAACTTATTTTCGATTCATTATACTTTCTCAGTGGTGATTAGCTAACAGTTGAATTGTCAAGTGTTAGTTAATCGGAATTCGGTTAGCTTCAAGTTCGATCGGAGATTCATATTAATTAGGATAACCATTGGGAAGACTCCTGAAATCTAAGACGAAACGGCTAAAAAACAGTGTTCCCTGGCTTTCAATGGTTATCTCTAACTGATATCAATCCGTGATCAAATTTAAAAGTGCTTTAATTATTGCAAGTTCCACTTCCTTTAATTAACCAGATGTGTGTTGCTGGAACTATGATTAATATTCTACGCTCATACAAAAAAGGGGGAAAAAAGAAATCAATACCTTTTCTAAATCATTTTTGAATTTCACTAATTGTGCTATCTGTCGATTGAATTGCATTGTAGGCGTAGGCACGATGGCTTTAGCCGACTGTTGTTGTGTGGATCCATCACCAGCGCCTGAAGGAGGCTCTTCAATTGGTTTCGATGGCTTAGGCAATCGAACTATTTGAAGATTAGCTATAAAAGAAAACATTTCTTTTCGAAATGCATCAACATCACGTAACACCTGTGATATCATAGGCTTTTGTTCTTTTTCTACTTCTTCTTCTTCTTTTTCTTCTATAGTGGATGAGGGTTTAGATTCATTATTCGCGGTATCATCAACAGCTTTCAGATATTGACGACGTATTGGTTTTTGCAAAGTTCCAAGACTTTTCATTTGATTCTGGTTTAAAAAACACGTGAGAAAAAGGGGACCGCTAAATTAACTGGTTACAAAATTACTATCATTTGGAATATCTCACCTCCATAGTTAAAAAACGACGACCATAAATTTATGGAGTCAGTAACTTGTCGCAGATCGATTTAAGAGGCAATGAACGCGTAAGTAATCTGAAGGTTACAGGATTGTCATCATGAGCTGACATTAGTTAGAGAACCATTGGAGGACCTGGGAGTACTGGACAGCTGTTTCGTCCTAGTTTGGGACTCTTCAGCAGTACACACCCACTGGGGTTCGAACCCAGGACCTCCCGGTTACAAGGCAAGCTGGCTCGTATACCATTAAGCCACTGGGACCCAATCCAATGACCCATGATCGGGTCCCAGTGGCTTGATCGTCGACGAGGTGGCCTTGTAAACAGAAGGTATTAGGTTCGAACCCCGCAGTTTGGGTGCGTACTGTGGAAGAACCCTGAACTAGGACGAAATAGCTGTCCAGTACTCCCAGGTTTTCCAATGGTTTTCTAACCAATGTCAGCTCATGATGAAAATCCTGTAACCAATCAAATACCTACAAACCAACACTTGTATAATCTGAAGGTAGTTGGTTCAAACTCCGACAGGAAAAATATTCTTCGTCAGTTAAAAATGAATACTACCCACTCTATCATTCAAAGGTAGCTAAAATTACTTATTTTGAGGCCTTTATTACCAATGATAATGAAAAGCTGACAGTAAACTGTAACTGCTGCCGTTATCCGTGGGAAGCGAGAAGACAGGCATACACTGGATCAACAATAAAACTCTAGAATGTCTGGACCAAGTTTACGATTTGTGTTCAATGTCGCACAGACTCGAAGGTGAAGAAGTAAAAGCAACAAGTTGACAGGAGAGGCAACAAATGCAAGATGTCAAATGGATATAGAATAGACAACAACACAAATTGGAGGAATGCAAAGGAGGTCACCTTTTTCACCTATATAAGCGGCACAGATGAGGATGTCAAAAGGAGCCAAGATCGGAAAAGCAGGACGTCTTCATTGCTTTGAAATCCACTGCACTAAGCAAGAGGAAAAAAAATCGGAATTTTCAGAATATGTCAGATTGCTCAGTGCTTATATGTGGTTTAGAAAGTTGGCCCGAGTGTCATGAATAGCACTTTCAACAGGCTACTTCAGAAATTTATCAGTAGCTCGATACTGAAGATCAGATATGCAGAAATGACAAGCAACAAGGAAGTCTAGAAGATAGCGAAAACAACTAAGAAACTTATACCTAAATAATATGCGGAAGGATGAGGGGATGGATATCTTTTGGTGATACCACGCACCAGATCCTTGAGTGGAACCCAATCGGGAAATGACAAGTTGGATGTCTGTTGGTAAAATGGGGGAGATGGTGTGAAGAGAGTATTCGAAAGCTTATGAGGCAATAGTGGAGTCAGCTAAAAGGGACTATAAGGCGAACACAATGAAATGCAGATGTGCCAACTACAAGAATTCAACTACTTTATCGAAAAAACGGAAAACTCATTAAATTATTTTTCGTCTGAAGTTGAGAGTATGAATCAGTAATTAGCTCAATGAATGAAAACGTTTCAAACACTATAAGAAAAGGTTAAAAGTAAACCCCCTGCTCATGCACAACACCTAACCTAATAGAATATGAAGAAAATATGGGAAAACAGTTCTTTCAAATAAAAGAACTCAGAGACTCGAATGTATAAAGGATTAGCATAGAAAGCACTAGCGGAGGGAAATGTCATTCCTTGGGGTATGCAGAAATCTAGATTGGAATAGCAGTAATAAAAACTTTGAGCGAAGGTCAATTCTTTTTTTGACTCGATGTATATTGAATAACAACATGCCTTTCAATTATTAGGAAAATTAACAGGGTTAAGAGACAAGAAGAGACATGTATCATGAGTTACTGTTCCTCCCGTGATTTGTGAACTAAACATTTGACCCTTACCTCAGGTTAAAGGTCACAACACTGGATCCAGTGAAAGTATGGCCTTAACATCTTAAACTAGAAACTTATCGATTGTTTGAAGTAGGTGTACAGTACACTTTAATTTCAAGTGTCATCACCTCTTTTGTGGAGGCAATAAAACGTCACCTTCTCAATCAGTATAGTATTCGAGTGATCAGTGTTATATTATTGTGTGTCAAAGTCACAGTAAGTATTATCATGGATACAACAAATAAGAATACGTTTAGTTTGTCAAATTCGCTTATACTAAGATAATTTATCCATTTTAAGGCTGGTGATTGGTAATAGAAACTATGAATGCTCTGCCGCACTGATTACCTGTTAGTTGGATGCAACTAAGCTCTAATAGATGGAAGTGACCCTCATCGGAATATGATACTGACCTCTATGGTGTCAAACACAAAACGTTTCTAAACTTCAACTATTTACTCATGATTAGCAGTGAATGTCTATGAAGTCTTTGACAGCTGGTTTCAGCCGACCACTTAGAGAGGTGCAGACTGTCTGGTTGGGAGTATTTCGGGATACTAAGAACAAAGGGATGGAGACTATTGGTGATATAGTTCAAAATCGTTCTCAGTAATGCAAATGCATTCACTCTTTATAATCTCCCATATCTATTAAACGCTCATACCTTTCCGTGTTGCCATTCTTTTTCTTTTCTGTGCATTATAACTCTTGTGAATTTCTTTCTTCTCTCTGTTCTCAACTTTCGTGTGCCGTGCATGGAGTGTGGCAACTTGAAGTACTGCACATTTCTGCAAAAGTCTATGTTAAAACTCAATCAGTCAGAAAAATCAACGTTGCTTGTAGGTTGGAGATAGTCGAACAATCTATTTCAATGGAATCCATAACAGGTAATTACAGATACGCTCATTCAGCTAAACACATTGAACACTAAATATCTAACAAATATAAATTTGGATGGAGGATTTCATCATGAGCTGACATCAGTTAGAGGACCATTGGAAAATCTGCAGGGAGTACTGGACAGCTATTTTGTCCTGGTTTGGGCCTCTCCAGAAGCACGCACTCACCGGGGTTCGAACCCGGTGACAGCTGAACTTATAAAAAAATGTTTTTTACATTTGGGAACAGAAATACAACAGGGTCGATGAATTCGTCCATTAACTATGTCCAAAATGTGTGAAATTTCAGTTACAGAAAATTTCCCACTACATGAAAATCAAGTGTTACAGTCGCTGAGGGGTAGAATGCTTGCCGACCATGCACGTGGTCCGCCTTCAATACCCAGACGACGCACTCATAAACCTCATTTAGCCGGTAGTAAGCTTGATAAAGTGGGAGGGTTGGGTGTTCGGCTAGCCACTCTGTTTTGTAAAAACAACGCTACTGCTCCTCAAACTTCAAAGCTCATGCTTGTAACTGTATGTTCCACTGGGAACGTAAAAGAATGAGAAAAACAACCCGAAAATCATAAGCTCAACAATATTTTGATAAGAATAAAGAGCTTCGGTTATTGTGAGGTAGGTGGCTACCAGAGATTTCTTCGTAATTTTTACAGAATCCACAACTTTGAGGACATCTGTGTATATTTCAGAGAGGAGTATTAATGTACTACACATAGTTTATCATTTATCCGTTAGAAGAAAAACAAAATTTAGTAAACTCACAAACATTTTTTCACCACGTAGCTTAGATACCTCAGAAGACAAACGTCGGACAGCTTCGCGAAGGCCTTTAATCTATGTTAAATAAAAAAACACAACATTGAAACAAAAAATAAAGTCAGTCATTAAAAAGATTTAAGTCTTTATGCATTTCGAAGAACATTCCAAAGGATCTGTAAGTCAAAAAAGGCACATTACAATGCTCGCAAGACACAAGAGAATATCAACGTCCAAATCCCGGGTCAACGCCTCTTTAAAACCTCACCTAGTTGTTTACCAGGTGGTAGTTATGTTATACAATAGTGGAGGTTGGACATAAGGCTACAAACCCACTACTGATTCTCTAAAAGCTTGAAACCCTAACTTATGAAAATTAAAAGTTCCAGATTGTGGTAGGATTCGAAGCAATTGCCTCCGGACTATCAATTCAGATATGTATATTAGCTGAACTAGCCTACTTAACTGCGTTATTTTACTAAAACCATTAAGAGTAATATCTAGTTGTCACGTGAATGTGTTATGCCTTACTGTCAGTCGTACTTTTGACTTGAAGACAGATCAACAAGGCAGTGGAGCAGCCTAAGGAGCTACATTCCCATGGTCTCCGGTGACCAAAACAATTTCACATGCTATTCGATCCATTCGGACTTTCAATATGGTTAAAAATGTATAAATATGATGCTTTTTTCTTGAATAAAAAATGCCGTTACATATTTTCTTTAATGAGATAACTTGTCAACGGCGTGATGGTCTGAATTATATAGATATATAAAAATCCATAAAGAGTGACCAGATGGTAGGTGAGCTCAATATTTAGGAAGTTTCTCTTCCCAACCACTTTCTGTATTCACGTAAATTATAAGTAGTTAGTGGACCCACACAAAACACTTGGAGGATCTGGACTTCGTCGATGATATATGTCTGATTTCCCACAAACTGGAAGATATGCAAGTGAAAAGCAACAAGTTGGAAGAAAAGCATCCAGAGAAGACAGGAGTTCAGGTGAACACAGAGAAAACATATGGTGATGAAGATTCCTGGCCAACAGCAACAACAACAGACAACAATCGGCATAAATGGGAGAAATTTGAAAGAAGCAACCTCCTTTAAATACCTACCTACCTACCTACCTACCTGGGAAGCCTCGTTTCAAATACAAGCGGAACTGACGAGGATATCAAAGCGAGGATCGGGAAACCAAGACAAGCTTTCGTTACTCTCAAGTCTATGTGGAGATCAGCAGCGCTAAACATGAAAATTTAACCAATGACGGTGAGTTTCTGCTCCTGCGGAGAAAGCTATGTAGGTCGAACAACTAGACAGCTCAACAAACGCACCATTAATGAGCATCTTCCTCCATAATTCGGAAAAGGCTAAATAAAATCTGTAAGAAGTTCTACTTTCACTCATTTGATTGATAGCAGTCACCAAGTGGACAGAAGAAGTGCCTTCAAAGTTATCCATCGCATTTCATCGAACCTTTCGAATGGAATTCAAACCCGCCTTTTTACAAATAGCCGAAGCTATAGGAATTCGAGAGAACAATCCTAGTCTGCGTACAAAAGAAGTTTGCTCTACCTTTGCCTAGGTAAATTCTAATCAAAACCCTTCCACCCTCTCTTATTTTCCATTTCCTTCGTAGTTTTATGATATTTATTTTGAACTCTAATTACCTGTCCACTTCAGCTTCGGTATTACGTAACTTTTGAGATTTGACCTAAATTATTTATTGAATCTCCTAAACATACACATATTGATACTTTCATTCATCTTATCACCACGTGCATAAATCTTGTTATCATTATAATCATCTTTATTACTGACCTTCAAAACATTTAACACGTTGTTATTGCTATTTGATCCATAAACTCACCATCATTGGTTAAAAATTTTGTGTATATATCTAAATAAATTAGAGTAAAGCCTGAAGAAGATCTAAAGTGAAAACAATATAGTTCGCTTATATGTCGTCTTGTTTTAATGTTAATAATGGGATTATTTAAAGTTGTTTTCAGTTTAACTCCATTATAGATAAGATTTTATTTTGACAAATTACACAGTAAGATTAACTGATGACGTTTCGAGCACAAATTATTGCACATAATCATACCAAATCACCCACACAACGTTTTACTTCATTTATATACATGAGTGGAATTGATTGATTAGATATTTGAATGAAAATCACTATAGGATAATGTACATTCAGGAATAATAATAATATGAGTGTTATTGATCAAATAAAATCAGACGGGAAATAAGACGAGTGTTTTTATAGTCAAAATAATTAACTTGTTCGAATATGTTAAGACTATTTATTATCCTCCTCTGATTTGACTGGTGGTAAACTTGAACGTAGATGAGTAAAATTAATGCCATTTGTGAACTAGACATCTACACCCACTAAAACCAATTGGCGATTTGCAATATCCACAGTTCAAGGAGATGAAATTTCATCACAGTTCCCTGTGCAAATTATTTAGATTACAATATATGTTGTACTTGATATCATGAATGGTAATCAAGAAGGCATGCATCGGTGGCACAGCGGTAGAATGCTCGCCAACCACGCATGTGGTCCGGGGCTCGATCCCCTGCCAATGCACTCCTTTACCTCCGTAAACCAGTAATAAGACTGGTAAAGGGGGAAGGTTGGGAATGAGGCTAGCAAACCCCATCCCGTAAAAATAAATACCACTGCTACAGAAACTTCAGGTGTCTAGCTTGAAGGCCTATTTTCCACTGGAAACATAAAGAAATAAAAAAAATCAAGGAAGCAAACATAAATGCAAGACGCCATATGCTACTGATTCATTGGGACGAATAGGTGTATACCACTCACATCAACCAGAAGTGATTGCTAGCTATATCAACGTAGTCTAAACACTGGACGGCCGTTTCTCTAGTCTAGGGTCGAACTCATCAGCGATGTTACTAGGTATGACTTAGCTTACAAGGGGGTGAGACAGTTGAAACCACTCGAAGTTTAATAAGTTAAATACGTGAACTAGCAATATCCACTACAAAAATGACTTTTTCTGAGATATTTTGATTTAAGGGATTATAAACGTCTATTTATTAGAAAGAAAACAAAATGTGAAAACTAACCTCCATTGACATGAATGAAGCATCTCTGTAGGCAGCTAGACGTGCAGGACCAGGTGAAGGTGATGCACCCTCAACAGAAGTTTGTTTACCAACTGAAGGAGTTTCAGGTGTAGCAGTCTGACCCTTAGATGGAGTTTGATCTAGCAAAAGGGGAAAATTAAAGTAACATACATTTATTACTTACTATAAAGCAAATAAGTATGAATATTGCGTAAATGATCAAATACTCTCTGATAATTCAAACTGCTAATTATTTTACCAATAATAATAATAAAAAAAAATAGTGATACATAATTATGACTGTAATTTAGCGCGTCGGTAGCACAGCAGTTAGGACGCTCGCCGATCATGCACATGGTCCGAGGTTCGATCCCCGGCCAACGCACTCATTTAGCTTGCTAAGCCAGTAATAAAAAGGAAAAGTTGGAAATGAGGCTAGAAACCCCATCCTGTAGAAATTAACACTGCTACAGAAACTTCAAGCCTATAGCTTGAAGCCCTATGTTTCACTGGGGATGTGAAGGAATAAAGAAAAATGACTGTTACTATTCCCGTGAGTTCGGACCAGAACATATGGTTCCAACAGCACACTTCCATTTCACTCTCTTCTCTGCAGTTGTTTTAGGTGGTCTCACAATTAGCGGTGAGCTTTCATTCCCTCTTCATAAGATCCCCACGATGGCACCTTCAGATCCACATGCAACTTGTCATTCTTCTATTCGGCTTACTCTCGAGTATCTGGTGCATAAAACATATTTTGGTGAGCTGGATGATCCAGCTCAGAGTACATAAACTACACCAAAATTATCCACCTGAACTACAAATTTCCACCATTGTATCTACAATCATACATATCCCAAGGTAAATGCAAGTGAGGATAAACAGTGACTAGGGAGAACTGTTAAGAAAATTAAACTGTCTTATATATCAGTGTTTAGTACGTTTTGACAGCTGTCCTCCAACCAATCGAGGTTCGCGTAGTCGACTGGTATAAATAATCTGTCTAGATGTTGTATTATTTATTGTTATTTCTCATCATTTTTACTAATAAAAGTAGGACAGTATCGACAGACACCTTAAAAGCCATTTTATCCATTGATAAATAATTTTTAATATTCTACGATGTATGAACCGGCTTACAAGTGCTATTAAGTTTATCATATTTGTTGAATCATACAACTCTTTCCTACATAAACTATTTATTAATATTAGCAGTTAGAAAAAAGGTGGATATATATGAGAAGCCTATCTGTTGTCCAGTATTTTAGAAAGTATTATACCAGTATTGTAGTTGGGTTACGCCATTATTGCAAAAGGTTTGGAAGGGAGGAGATGTGCCTACCGATTGGAAGAAAGCCTACCTTACCTTGTCAAGCTACCAATGAAGGGTGACCTACACCTCCGCAACGACTGGCGTAAACTACTAAGTCGTGTCATTCTGGGGAGAATAAAAGATGTACTGGATGCAGAACTTCGCCCGCCGGAGCAAGCTGGATTCAGGAAAGGTAAATCATGTGCTGATCAAATTGCAACTATACGCATCGTCATCACAGAATGGCGGTCAAACATATACCTCAACTTCATCGACTTCGAAAAGGCCTTCACCAGTAATTTAGAAACTACTTCAACACTACGGCGTACCTCAAGTCTTTGTCAACCTCATTCAACAGCTGGCTATATAGCAATGCCACGTGTCAGGTGATCCATAACAGAAAACTCAGTGAGGCGTTCGAAGTGAATACAGGAGTAAGACAAGGCTGCATGCCTATTATCACCGATGATATTCTTAATTGTGGTGGAGTAGATTATGCGTCAGACTGTTGGTGGCGAGGAGTCAGGAATACGCTGGACCACAGATAAGAAAACGCTAGAAGGTCTGGATTTCGCGTGTGGATGATTTGTGTTTAATGTCACAGACTACAAGACTTGCAAGTGAAAACCAAAAAAACTGGTATAAGAAGCAGCCAGTGAAGACAGGACTCCAGGTGAACATACAGAAGACGGAGGTGATGAAGATGACCAACCAACAGCAACAACAACCAGCACCAATCACAATCAATGGGAGAAACTTGAAAGAGGTTACTTCTTTCATTTATCTAGAATGCACGGTTTCAATCACAGGCAGTTGGAACAGATGAAGATGTTAAAGCCAGCCAGCTAGGATCGAAAAAGCGAGATACACCTTCATCAACCTAACCTGAAACCAGTTTGGAAATCTTCTGTACTCAGGCAGCATAAAGACCAAGATTCGCTTTTCAATACAAATGTCAAGTCAGTCAGTTCTTCTATACGGGTCAGAAACTTGTACTGCACGTCACAAAAAGAGTTTCCAACAAGTTACTGCAGACGTCTATCAACAGGTACCTTCGCTGGTTCCATGTTGAAGATCAAGTGGCTAGCCAGAAAGAATTAACAACAAGAAACCCTAGCTGGCGACCAACTAACCAAGAGCCGATCACTCGACAAATATATAGGAGAAAATGGAGATGGATCGAGTATACGTTGAGGACGCCGTTGAATGACATCGCGCACAATGCAGGGTTCCAAGTTTCAAGCGCTAAATTTTCAGTAGAGGTAGTGTTTTTCTTATAGAGTAAAGCCTGATTCCTGACCTTCATTCTTCACTGGGCTTACTATCAACTAGTAAACTAGGCGAGATTTTAGGAGGGCATTAGTCAGGAATGGAACCCAAACCACGTGATTGGCCATCACTCTACCATTCAAAGATCTAAGAATGTATACAACTACAATACCTTTGAAAGTATATGCACTACACATAAGCATTAACTGAAAACAAAACTTACCAGTGACCAATGGAGTTTTATTGATTCCTTCAAATACGGCATTTTTACTTAAAGTCTCCAATTTCTCTTCAAGTTCTGCTTTCTCATGCTCTAAAGCTTCAATATCCGCTCGAAGTGCATCAAGGGTTTGTTCAAATTTCCTGGAAGCCAGAAGAAATGAAGCATAAAAATTAACAGCTATGATGGTTTAAACACATTGACAATTTCTTCCCGAGAAAAGACATACATCATAAACAGATTATTCTTTAGAACTAGCGCTTTTTGCTGATTAGTTCAGTTACAGTAATTTAGAGGGTAGTATGAAGTAAATTGGTCTACGAGCTCGTCTTGTGAAAAGAAGGTCCTGAGCTCAAACTCCGGTAGATGCATACTGATGAAGAGACCCCACTTAGGACAAGACAGATGCCCAGTACTCCCTGGTTTACTATAGTTCCCTAACTAATATTGTGGTGAGAGCTGTCTGCTAGCCAACATAGGTAGACGGCAATTTACATTAATGTTTACGTCCCAAATTTTGGTCATGAGAAAAAAACAAAAACAAGGACTAACTCAACAACCAATCACAGCAGACTTCGCTTGGGCGGATATGATTCGCAGATATATGGTCTAACCTTCAAAGAAACGGCCACAAAGAGATGACAGAATAACTTCCAGTAGGAAAACGACCAATCGGAAGACGCTGTTTCTCTGCTAACAATAACACTAACAATAATGCACATAAAAATATATAAATATCCCTTGATTTTCTCAATAAACGATCTGTTGCCTGGCATCTGTCTTCTGTCGTTACAATATCGGCTCGTGATCAAATCTCGAACCAATCAAATTCCTATATTAAAACAACACTTGGAAGTTAAGAATATAAAATAGGAGACACTAGATGACATCGTGAAAAGTCTATCATACCAGCCCGAATATATGTACTATGTATCATCAACGTAAACATTAAATAAATTGTCCACTCTCTCTTCATATGTCCGCCTTTGGTCATTGAGGACCAGTGCACTTCCTGTCCCCATTTGTGACAATCTGTTTGATACTGGAACAAAGATAAAATTAGTAACAGTTCGTCAAAATTCTTATCGGATAGCGAAATCCCTTATCAATTACATCAATCAGAAACAAAAATCTAATTACACCGAAAATAAGCAAACAGGGGCCTACTTTTCGCTTCGTTTTAATTGAGCTTCTGATTGTTCTAAGCGTTGTTCTAAACGAGCTATTTTCTCTTCATAACCTTTACAAGATGTTTCTAATTTCTTCTCTGCTAAACCAACACGTACAGACATTTCACTGAGTTCTTCAGCGCGTGCTTTAAGTGCTTTTTGTAATTCTCGTACTTCTTCAGCTTTAGATTCTAATTTAGAACGACATCCTTCTAGTTCAGCTTGAGCACGTTTATAGGCAACAGCACGAGCGGAGACTGGTTCTTGAGGCTATAAACACACATACAACATCAGAAAATGAAAATCAGTCCATTTATTATCAAAAGTGTAAAATACCATCCTAACTTAGAGGTATGTGCAAAAGAATACATAGTGAAAGAACGAAATGAATTCATATTTTAGGATGTGTTAAATACCTACACGTCGTACTAAGAGGCGACATGTCAACAGAGACCACGCCCTTCGGTACAACATAATCAATAAACGGGAAATGCAAAATTAACCTAAAAGCAAAAATAATAACTGATACTCGTTGCGCAAGGGGTGGCTCTCGTGGCTCAGTGGATAATGCTGTGGAGTTTGGAAAGATGGGTGCAGGGTTCGGGTCTGAGTATGAGCACCATCACCACTACTCAGTAGGGATGCAGGTACTTCCAGACGGCAAGTCCTTAATGGGACGAAAATGCGCATTGCGGATTATAATGCTATACACCGTCAACCAAAATAATTATTAGTTATATCCTCAGGGAGTTAACCGACTTATTAAAAGTTGGTTGCACTGCACCTACTACATATAGCACGTAATAAAGACTGCTGTGATCAATACAACAGGGCTCCAATTTATCTCTTTTTGGGGAGTTATAGGTATGAAAATGTTTAAAACTAGATTAAGTATTATAAAATACAGTCATTAATTAAATGATGCTTTGACGGTTAAATTTGACTAAAATTTATTCTAAAATATTCGTCCGACTGAAAATACTGAGTTTTGTACCTTTAAAAAAGGTTAACATTTTGATCTTCGAGCCCACATAAGCTTGTTGATTTTAACAGTTTTGTTATACACTATATGCAGATACTACTTTCCATCTACTGCCTCACTTGTTCCTCTACGAATATGCATCTATTTGTCGGGTATACAGGTGGGGTCTACTGAGATTACTTTGTATCAATTGTAAAATTCATTAAATCCGTGAATTGTAATCAGTTTAGACTATTTGCTCCTTGTACTATCCCCTGACCCCTGTAAAAAAACATATTACATACCGACCAATAGTGCTTGCTGGCTAAATCAAGGGGATCTAAATACTGGAAGTCGTTTCGGGCCGAACTCATCAGGGGTGTATCCAGTTTTACTCAGCTCGGAGAGCGCTATAGAGATCGACTGTCTAGATCTCAAGTTTACTACAGTGTTTAGTAAGTTAATGCACATGTTACAAATCTGATGAGTGGACTTTGATAGGCGCTTAAGCCTAGAGGACTGCATAATCCACTCAGCTTTCCTTTAACTACCAATGGAAAAAAAAACATCCAGTGAACTTACAGCGGTTTGTTTTGTTCCATCAAAGTCATATTCTCCATTCTCCATTGCTAATGCCACTTGACTGATAATACGAGCAACTTGAGTTAAATTATTACGAATTGCTATATCTGGTGCAATGACACTGGAACGAGTATTGAATGCATCTGGTGTTAAGTATTCTTTACAAGCTTCTGATAAACAATGAGTGAAAACAACACCGGGGTCTAAATTGGCTGTATCTTCCTAGAATTTAATTAAAATCAGAAAAAACGTTGACTGGTTAACTTAAGACGACACATAAAGTAAAATAAAAACTGATTTTGAAAAGGAGGCAACTCAAGGTGTAACCACTTCAAACTACCTGGTCCTAAAAAAGATTAAACAGTGAATCCGAACGTCTGGCGCCTACAACCGGACTGGTGAACCTGCTGGTCTACCTAGAGAAGCTGGAAAATCGTGACTCAAGATCTGAAACGATAAAAATGGAGTATGAACGCGTTTCGGTCACCGGTAACCATGGGGATGCGGCCCACTGCCATGTGGATAAAACTTTAACTAATAGGCTCGGGAGGGGTGACCCCTAAAAGCGACCACCTGCTTCGGTCTGGGTAAACGGGCAGTATCCCAGGTGTCGTGCAAACTATGAGGTTTTGTGTGGCACATTTCTTGGTGCCAACAATGTACCAAGTGTGCTTTAATAAAATGAAACAAGTTACACGATTACGACCAGCGATCACCTGAGGGATGACAATAATTTAGCTAAAGAGAGGCTCCTTTATTGATCATATATCATATTTCAAAGAAATTAAACTTTAGAAATACACCAGTACAATCTCAACACTACAGTCGACGGATGTAAAAAATAGTCGTATGAGTTAGAAAATATGTAAAGAGGAAAATAATAAGGTTTAGATACAATAACGATAAATTACTGAATTTGTAAACGACAGAAGACAAGAGTCAGGCAACAGAATGTTTATTGAGAAAATCAAAAGGTATTTATAGATTTTTATGTACATTATTATCAGTGGAGAAGCAACCTTTTCTGATTGGTTGTTTTCTTACTAAAAGTTATTTTGTACTGCTTATGGCCGTTTCTCAGAAAGTCAAGCCATGTATCTGCGAATCCCATTTGCACATGTTAAGTCCGCCGTAATTGGTTGGTGAGTTCCTCAAGGTTAAGCTTTGCAATCGTTTTTCTCATCACTCTGATTCCAGACATAACACTGACGTAGATTGTTGCTCACAATTTTGGCTTGTTCGTAGCCAGCTCTCACCCCAAATTCAGCTTTAAACACATATTTACGAAATGTGAATATTAAGCGTTTCTGACAGATGACTGACTGAATTTCAGCAGAGAACTTTGCACAGAAGTGCACCAGTTTAGGTTGCCACACTCTATGTAGCACACAGAAGTAGAGAAAAGAGACAAAGAAGGGATTCAAAGGAATTATAATGAGTAGAAACATACATCAGAGAGACAGAATAGTAAAAATGGAAAAACAAGAGAGTTCACTGGATATGAGAGAGAGATCAAAAGAGGGAATGAGAACAGTTTTGAGCTATATCACCAATCTTCAGCCATCGGTGGTGCTTAACATCCTAATTATGCATTTCAGTTTAAAATCAAAATAGGTGCTTTCATGTATTGTGAATAACGAAATGGTTTATAAGATATGATACGTTTAACTTTATTATGAAAAAGAACATATTCACAAGTTATTCAGAAAAAAAACTTACAACTTGTCGAACTGTTAACTGGCCGGCTAAACGAGTTGTTTGATACATAGCACCAACAACTGATCCTAACAATTGTATAGCTGAATCTAATTTCTGTGAAACATCCTGGTGAAATGATAACGGTTGACCTGTAGGCTTATTCGGGATTCTTCGTTTTATTCGACGCGTAACAACACGTACAGTTGTAGCAAAATGAATTAATTCACTAAGGAGGCCAATTAAACCGCTTTCAGTAGGATTACTTAACAGTAACGAACCAACATCATCCATATTACCCATACTCAATGGTCCAGATACACAAGTGGCAGCTGTTTTAGCCACTTGTGATAAACAATCAACATTCTGACCGGTCAATATCATCAAAGCAGTTGAGTCAACAGATAAGGCATCAACAGCTGATAGAATTGTTCGCGTGAAATCCAGTAATTTATTGTTACAATTAAATAGCGGTTCTGTTTTCAAATGAACTGTATATAATTGAATAAAGTAATTGTATGACGAAAATAATGGTCCCAATGAAATTGTCTCATCCAATTGATCATTCTTTGTTTGTTCAATTAATCGATCAATACAATGTTCATGTGCAATCATTTCATTATATAAAGAGCCGAATTTCAAATAGAGTTCAACACTACAACCTGAAAGGACTCTATTAAGAAAGAGAGAATAAGCAAAACGATAGTGTAGTAATGTTAAATTAAAAGTGTGATACCAATAGATAATAAATCTAACAGACAATTACAAATGATGAAAGTGCACACATAGTTTGCTATCCTGCAGTTGGAAAATAAAACAGAAAAGAATCCTTTTATATTTTCGACCTTTGTGTCCCGAGGAGAACATAAGGCTTCGGGAATTAAGCTTTGAAATTTCAATACCGTTCGCATTTTTACACGATGAAAAATTGTTAGCCTCAGACTCAATCTCCCTTATTTTCCAGGCTTACTATCGACTAGTGAACTGGGCAAGTTATAGGAATGCACCGGTCAGGAGTTGAACTTGGACCCCTAAACCAATAAACGCAATGAAGTATATGTAGAACTGATAAATAAACTAATGATAATTAGAGCTTTGTGAAAGGACTGAATCAATTCAGGTTACTGTAGTTCAAATCAACCGAAAGTTAACAGAAATGTAAAGATGTGGTTTATTGACTTTTCCACTTGAGCTTTCACACGATACGGGTCACAGGTTCTCATTCCACTCCACTTAATATACAACCTGGGAAACTAGATGGCAGCTACCTTCAATACAGTACATCTTCCCTAGGCCTAGCAGTTTTCATGGACTATTTTTTTACGATACACTAAAGCATTAAACTCCTCAACAATTAGCAAGAAAGTAAATCTACCACTTCTTATTCAACTTAGCAATCAGATTAACATTCACCCAAACATCAGAATCCATATGGCGATGAAGATGTATAATCTCTAAAGAGATTATCTGCAGTGAAATATGATTCGAGATACAGCAGTATTTGATGATAGATGAGAGCTGTTGGATTATTATTCGAAGATGAAAGAAAACAGAAACTGGACAGTTGAGCAGTAGCCGTTCGCCAAAACAAAGACATTAAGATATTATTTAAAACCGGAGCTGCATTTATTGGTACTAACTTGGGGAGGTTTGTAGACTTGAAGAACTAAACAATTCAACCCTGAAGAAACAACTGACCTTGATTTCAATGTATCTGACGTATCCAGTGACATAATGGATGTTTGGCTAATGGCACAGTAGTCGTAAACAGGGTCAGAAGCTTCAGAAACTGTTTTTACCACAGGTGTCATTGGGAAAATCACCAACAGCGGTTACCTAATGGCTGAAAGAAATATGAGCGACAGAGGTGAACTCTGAGGGCTTGATCCATAGAATCCCGACCGATAACTGCTACCTTGCCGTGGTGGTCGGGCTTGAATGCCGCAGTGACCCAATAAGCTAAACTGGCTGGGACTCATGTCCCTGCAGGTCCTACCATGTCAGGAAGGTTGTTTGGATAGCGGTTAGACTAAAAGCAGTTACCATGGGGTACATGGGCTCCAGAATTCAATCGGATCAAATGGCGTATGAACCCATATGGGTCACCGGCAACCATGGGAACGCAGCTCCGCTACCTTGCGGATTACACTCCAAGTCAAAGGCTCGGGGGTGGTCCCTTAGGAAAACCACCTGCTTCGGTCTGGGCGCCCGGGCAGTATCTCAGTCCTCACACAATATTGTGTGGCGCATCTTTCTTGGTGCCACATTGTACCAAGTTTTTCTGCGTTTACATAAATAATAAATAGATCCATAGAAGGGAACAGAAATCAAGTGAGGAGGCAAGGTATTATTTCTTGGTAGAGCTGGATGACTAACACTTCTGACCTGGTTGACATCGCTTCCAACCCCCATATGAGGTTCGTGATGGTGTACACTGGCCCTGAATTTTGGGACCCAGCTACACGGCGATTGGGTATGGTCACAGACGTACCGGAGGACTGTTGACAATACTGAGGAAGACTGGCTTTTGAAAACCTCCTGCAGTTGGATACCACTGTCAATGAGCTCGACCCTAAAAGAGCGAAATGGCCGCCTGGTGTTTAGATCACTTCAATCTGGCTAACAACCACTACTGGTTGATGTTAGTTGCATACCAACCAATCAGTAGTATACAGTCATGCATTTATGCTTCTTTTCCTGATTGCCATTTATGTTAACAGGCATATCACACCACGATCTCCATAATTTCGGCTTCTCAAACTTCGTAAATTGCAAATCACGGATTCAATTTTGTATTTCTAAGATTTTTATTTATTCCTTCACGTTCTCAGTGGGAGATAGGGCTTCAAGCTAGAGCTTCAAGCTAGAGCTTCGAAGTTTCAGTAGCAGTGGTATTTATTTTTATGGGATGGGGTTGCTAGCCTCATGCCCAACCTTCCCTCTTTACCAGTCTTATCACTGGCTTAGTGAAGTAGAGGAATGCGTCGGCTGGGGATCGAACCCCGAACCTCCTGCGTGGTTGGCGAGCATTCTACCTCTGTGCCAACAACACCCTTTTTAAGATTTGAACAGGAGCAATTCCATACAGGAGTAAATTTGCATACTGAATGTTAAAATTGTGGAGTTGTTTTTTAATAGTGTTTATCATTTGAAAAAATGATAAAAAGTACGACAAACAATCCGAAAGTTATACACTAGTGGCTGTATTTTCTATTCATGTCACTCATAATATCTTAACATTAAGTGAAAATTTTCAGTGTGAAATACTATATCGAATAAATAAGGGTTAATAGAAAGCTGATAATTCTGGATATCCGTATTCTGAACCTACTGCATGTTCACAGTGGAGCATATTTGTGACTACATTATTCATCCCTTGGATTCCGCGTGGAACAACATAGGACTTTAGCAGTACACCACCTAACAATTTCATAAACGTATGCGCAATCCGGCTCTTTTTTTTTCTTTCTGCACATTTGTTGGGCAACAAGCTATTGGTTTGTTCGTTGCGAGACTTCCTTGACACTTATCTTTGCTGACTGGCTAATTGGTCTTCAGTATGAAGCTAGAGAAGACACCTATTGATGAAAGTCTGCAGCTTCTGGGGAATAGTTTACGTAGTGTGCGCGCCAGCTTTCTCAACCATATAGAAGCACTGACTTGACATTAGTACTGAAAATTGGGGATTTTTCTGTGCTGAGTGTGGTAGATTTCCACATTGTTTTCAGATTTAATGCATGACTGTCGTAATTTCCGAACTCTGACTGGCTTTGACATACCCATCCGTGTCGCCTGTAGTTGAAACGATGATGTCCAGTTGAGTGAAGGAAAAAACTTCCTTCAGGTTTCTCCCGTTGCTGGTAACTGATGATTGTTGTTCACTCTATTCAATTGAAATTCCGTCTTTGCTGCCAATTCTGCAAACTTGTAGGTGTTTCCTTGTAAATCGTCGAATTTGAGAGACACGAGACAGAAATCATTCACGACGTCCAAATCTTCCAGTCTTTTTGTCAGTCCAATGTATGCCTGTTTTTCTACTCCCCCTCCACAGTCTGCCGCATGACCCAACCCACTAGTGATAGTAGGCAGCCTTGTCTTATTCCTGTCTTCACTTCGAACAATTCACTGAGCTTTCCGTTGTGAATCACTTGGCAGGTGGTGTGACCATAAGGCTACTGGTCTGCTGCACTCCACAATGTTCAAGAATCTGATCACTTCATACCTTGAAGGTTCTCGTTTCAATGCCAGGTCAGGTTATGCCTACTGCTGAGGAGTCACAGACTAAGACGAAATAAACTCGCATTACCCTTTGATTTTCAATCACTCTCTCTCCCTCTGAAGTCACTTTATGGCCAAATCTTACTTGAAATCAATCAACCCACTCATCCTACCTACAAACTACCACTAGAATATTATCAATTAGACTAAATACACAAAATCACTTACTGTTTACACTGGCCTAACAAAGAAGCCATTGACCGGAGTAGATGAATTAGTCTAGTTATAAAACTATAGAATTCTGATTGTGTTTTAGTCAGTGGATTATCAGTACCAGGAATACAAATTCCACAAACAACTTCAGTTGGATTATCAGCAGTAGTAGTACTGGTTTCACCTTGAGACATCTGTAGTGGTGCTTGACCCGGAACACAAGGAGGCAATGGATAACGTTCAACAAGCTGAAAGTAAATCATTTAGTGTGGGATTAAATGCTATAAATATAAAACGATTGTGAATATATTTGCTCTTAGGTTAATTTGCATTTATCGTTGATTGATTATGTGTTGGATCGAAGTGCTCTGTGCATGCAGATGCCGAGTCCCACACACGACGAAATACACATCTTGGATTCCATTGCTAGTCATCATCAACCGAAGTAACTTCACACCATTCCTAAGACACAGTCGAAGCATCCGTACTAGCGGCCGACATGTCAACAGAGAGACCCAGCATTTCAGGTCAACATAATCGACCAACGGGAAATGCAAAATTAACCTAAAACAAAAGTAATAACTGATATCCGTTGCACAAGATGCTTGTAATGGCTTCCTGTCGATTGCTTTCAACTACCTAACGAATGTAAAGATCCTAAGATTGATTGATGGTTAAGGAAGAAGTAGAAATCAGTCTGCAAGATCTGCGATAGCTGAACATCAGGTCAACACTGATCACTCAATCACGACAACTTTACCCTCCGAAATTACACCTAAGAACTGTTAAATAACCCATCGAAATCAGCGTATATTCACTTTCGTTGCACTCCTGATGCCCTAAATGTCGAATTACAGGAGCTGCAGCTTTGTACACAGAAAAAAAAACTGGTTAAAACTCTGCTTTCTTCTACTATCTTAGCCTTTTAGTGTTGAAAAAAAATGCTTCTACTTCCCTCAAGCGATGTAATTGTGACGTAATGCAAACTGTTTGTCATTTAAATGCTTATTTAGACCATAGTTCATTCTCCCAAATATTCCATCATATTTCGTATCTCATTATTTATAATTATCCACCCTTAATAAATTCCCACTGACTGGTTTTAACGATTTTACACTTATTTCGCTAGTCAGTAAGCATTTTGAGGAGCACTTTAACTAACCTACAGTTATACTTAGTTTGTTCAGCATCCACCACCTATCTGAATGGACTGTAGACATTAGTCCTTTAATTGTAACTGAGGTCGCAAAAGCTGTCTTTAGTCTGAAACGAGGAAAAGCAACAGGTCCTTATGAAATCACTCTATAAGTGTTTCAGAATAGTGGTGATGAATTGTTAACTGTTTTAACTAAGATATCATGTAGTGTCTGGAAATAGTTTCGTTGGACTGGTGTAAATCATTGATTATTCTAGTTTATAGGAAGGGAGACACGTTTGCCTGTGAGAACAATCATAGGGTTAAGCTTGACTGGCTTGACTAGTACAAATAATCACGCGTCCACTAAGCGGTACTTGGTAGGAACAAACCAGTGAAAACAAGTCAGGCCTTAGGCCCAGACGAGAGTGTTTGGATCACATTTTTACCCTTCGGCAGATTCTGAAATATAGGCATACTTACCGGTGTCCAACAAATCTTACATTTCCTAACCTAAAGGCGGTATTTGACTCCGTCAACCGAGAGGTAATGTATCAATGTTTCGTCGTGAACAGAGTGCCGAAAAAGTATATCACACTAACCAAGACGCTTTACTCGAACTCACACGGCCTTGTTAGACCCTATGGAGAGTTATCATGTCAAGTGATGAACATCAAAAGTGTCCGTCGGGTATGTTCATTGTCCCCATTTTCGTTCACCTTCATTATAGTAATGGGCGGGATATACAACTATCGATTAAAGGACATATGTACCGCGCAGCAGTTCGTTCTGCTTACGTTGTTGAAAGTGAGAGATATGAAGAGGTTAGTTGTCACTGATCATAGGTGTATGCTTCCCATCTCTCGTGTTAAGTGGTATAATATGGTGGGTAATAGTGAAGTTAGATGAGAAGAGGAAGTCTGTCAATGAAATTGTGAAGCTAAATTGATCGAGATCGATGGGATATGTGTCACACATGCCAAGTCACTACCTCCCTGATTGAGCAATGTTAACAGACACAGGACTAGCTTGGATAATAGTTAGAGGTAGTCGAATGGACTACTCGGCTGGGATCCCCGAGACACTAAGAACTATTTGCTTGAGACTTTTAGTGATATGCCTCAAAATCGTTCGTACATTTGCATTTATTTGTCGAATATTATTAAGGAAGCATCACACAAATCTATGGTATCTCATTAACTCATAAACATTCATTTGTTTAGAGCAAAGTAAATTAGAGAGTTGTGTCCCCCAATCTGAATATCAGTAACGCACTGTACACACGAAAAGTAGTACAATTCGTGGACACATACACTACTCTGAGACTATATTACGACGTATAATTTATTATATACAGTAAAATATCACAAATTGAGAGAATAAGATTAAACTTACATGATTAGCCAGCAGATCGCATTTCCCAGCTAGTCGGTCGATTAACAAAAGTGTAAGTAATGCCTCATTATCACCACCACTTCGGAGAAATGAGTCAGGTAAGAAAGCAGATAACCGCGTCACATGATTTGCAGTTTGTTCTGCTTCAAGGCGTCTTAATTCAGCTTCAATTACCTTTTTTCAATGTTAAATAAGACAGTAAAACACAATATGGTAACATGAATTCAAAGTAGCAAGTAGAATACAGAAAAGTTCATCATGAATGATTGAAATTAAAACATAAATATCAGTTAGAACTTCAAATACTAATCAACTCAACCCAACTCAACGTTACTCAACAGTCATTTGCAATTTCATATAGTTGGGGATGATCTACACATGTTGTGTGAGGGTTGGGTCATACTGTCACAGGCTGTGTAAACTTCAATGCTTGGAGTGGAGTTCGAACGTGTGACCAACGTGTTGAAAGTCGGGCACAGAGACCAATGAGCCGCAACTTCTAAAAATTCTAATATTAATAGTATTATTTGTTCCTTGAATTCTGACTGAAACATAGGGATTCGACAGCCTTGAACCTAGGTTTCGTGGTTCTTGGCACTCGTCAGGAAGGCATACTTGCAGCCCTGAAGGAACTCGTATCCCTTCTGAGATTAGCACCCACGTCACCCAGTGCTGCGGTCAGAGACGTTATCACTGAGCTATTCGGGCTCGCGACTGACCTCCTGTAGGACTGTATTGGCTCTTTTTGATTCGATACTAGTTAGTAGCTAGCGTAATGTGTCTAGTCCTTTGTTTTGTGCAGACTGAATTCTATCAGTCGAGTTCGTAATGTGGACACGATGCTAGGTGGCTCCCCATCAGAGTGCACTGTCAATTGTTGGTGTTAGATGGTTGGAAGACATCGGCAGGAAACCTTGAACCTAGGTTTCGTGGTAGTTGGTGGCCACATTGCAAACTTGACTGACAGAATTCAGTCTGCACAAAACAAAGGACTAGACACATTACGCTAGCTACTAACTAGTATCGAATCAAAAATAGCCAATACAGGCCTACAGGAGGTCAGTCGCGAGCCTGAATAGCTCAGTGGTAACGGCTCTGACTGCAGCACTGGGTGACGTGGGTTCGAATCTCAGAAGGGATACGAGTTCCTTCAAGGTTGCAGATATGCCTTCCCGACGAGTGCCAAGAATCACGAAAACTAGGGTCCAAGGCTTCCTGCCGATTGCCTGCGACCATCTAGTAGTGAAGCTAACCGAGAGTGGGACTTCAGAGAACAGATTGCAAAGCAGATGTGTTATCAAACCCCTATGTTTCCATCAGAACTCAAGGAAAAAATAGCTTTACTACTGTCCAGGAGTTTTCGTTTCCTTCTCACATGACCTTCTCCGTATCATTCTAAGAAAACCAAGCCATCGTATCTACTTCAGGCAAATTGGTTAAGACACCACACTTATCATTCAGATTCCAAAAAATTAACCGAAATTTAGGTAACCATATATCTCTAAAAGATTACATGTTGCTTACAGATTAAAACACGAGAAGTGTAAATGATAATTGAGTTGTTAAACGAATTCAAATCGGTAAAAGTATAATTCCAATAGTCGTTATAGCTTATCATAGTGATATAAGGAAAGCGGAGTTTATTTCTAAGACGAACGGGATGTCAAAATTAAGTTTAAAAGGCATTTAGCATAAAAAAGGTTATTGACTTGCCATGTAGATATAAAAACATAGGCATCTTTAACGTAAACAATTACTAATTGCGGACAAGATTTTAGTAGTTAATGAAATTAAAATGAACAATATATGTTTTGTCCCCATTTATAGCTCTTCAACAACACGCACTCATAACTTCACCAGGCGTCGAACGATGCGAGAGGTTGTCATAAACGGGGCACACCAAGTTGATTGTGACGACAATTACTTGCAGATGATGTTGGTGGCTGCCAGCGGAGCTATAAATCGCAAAACTGGCAGAAGTCAGAATTGATGGCCCGCCCACTGGATTCTGTCCCAGCGACTGAGTGATCAACGAGTTCTTCCTGTAAAATGAAGAGTCCTGTGTTCGACCTCTAGTGAGGTGGTGATAGGTATCTACTATTGGAAATTCACAAAACTAGGAAGAGAGAGATATTTAGTACTACTTGGTTTTCAATAGTTCTCTAATTGAAGTCGGTTCATGATCCAATTTGAAATCAATTAAATCCTTGCAAACCAGCGTTAGAAATTTTCCCACTGAGCCTATTTCAATCCCTAATTTGATATTATTATAAAATATTCTGTTTCTTCTAGTATAAATAAACCAGTATGAAGTTTTAAAATTAATTTCGGTGAATAGAAAACTTCCTTCATTATAATCCTTTTCATTTTGTTTACTTTTAATTATTACTATGATTTCTGTGTGTACAATGGTCTTTCAGGATTACTTAATTTGTATCGATGAATAATCGCTGTGTCAAATATTCCGTAAAATCAATAAAATTAGCAATAAAAATCATTTTCAAGCGCTAGCTTGTAGCCATTTGATTGGTTTTAAGTGTGATCACGGATTAATATCATTTGGAGAGTCAGTCACTGAAACCCAGGGAGTATTTGACAGCAGTACGAACCTATAACCACCTCACGCAGGATGGAACCCTAGACCTGCAGGTTAAAAGGCGAGCTCGATAACCATTCAGCCACTCGGATGGAATCCAATGACTTTTCACACTTCTAACTTCTGCCAGTTTCCCGATATACAACATCACCACCAGCCAATATGTCAGCGGTGAATATTTGTCCTCACACCCAACTTGGTGGACTCGGCTAGTCACGACTTTCCCCTAGAACTTTGGGTGACTGCAATCGGTAAGTCAACCACTAGTGAGTATCAGATTATATTTTAAGTGTTGATTTCTAGGAATTTTATTTGTTTTCACTTTTCATCACAGATTGATATCAATAAAAATAATGATATGAAATACTCACTTTAGCAAGAGTTTGTACTTGAGAGCCTAATCCGAATTTACCCCCCATAAATGCAGCTGTAGAACCGACAAGATCTGTTGCAACTGTACGATAGGCATTTTGTTGCTGTTGTTCTTCCTGTAGGCGTTTTTCATCCGCTAATGACCTACGTAGATCAGTATTTTGTGTTTGTAAATCAGAGACTAAATCTCTAAATTTACCAAGAGTTTGTTCATAGTCTGCAATTGTTTCACGTGTCGCATCTAAATGACGTACAAGTTGATTAATTTGACTGTTGGCTCGTTCAATTTCTTCAAGTAGTTCAAGTTTTGTTTGACGACTATTCTCTTGCAATTCATCATTCATTTCACAAAGAGCTTCCTATAAAAACCATAGGAAAAAAAAGAAGCAAATAATTATTTAATCAAAGCACTTTTTTAAAATCAAAGACGGTTAATTCTTATCATTTCTAGACTTTTTGTTATAAACTCCACATAGTAGTAATATCAACTTTCTGTTAACATCAAAAAAATGCTGAGCTTTAGTGATGGTTATCGCCTTACTATTACTTTCAGTACTGTTGTCTCTATTGTAAAGATCAATATAAGGTAATACTTTGGATGCTCGCATTTAAATTGAACATAGAATATGATTGCAGTCTATAGCTTTGCAGATTGAAAAAGGGGCATGGTATATTTACAGCTTAATAATAATAATAATAGCTTTATTCCAAACAGTATTTATGGTACAGGTATGGAATTTTCAGCGTGCATTACAATATTACATCTAATTACCTCATAAATTTTATAAGATTTTAAAAATAAAAAGCAACAACAACAAAAAGAAAAGACGAGAAATAAAAGAAATAAAAAAGAACGGCATTGCATTCACATATTTAAACAATGCACCACAGGATATGAAATATAAAATTAATGTGTAATAGAATATGTGAGCAACAATATAATAGTTACAAAGAAAGGAGAACAAAAGCTAATGGGAACTATTTGTTCGAGTGCCGCAGTAAGTTGATCGTGTCATACCTAACAGTTTTCTCATCACATAACAGCTGTGCCAGATAAGGTATTGTGAAGTTTTTGTACTTAGGAGCCCTGGCATATAGCCTCCTATAGTTGCTTCTAGTTCTACCAGATGAAATGCAAGGAGAGAGCTGCGTATAGAGAATTCGCTAGTAGCTTACATGACATTATATGTCTATCCACAATGGTGTTAATCAGTTGGTTTAACGAAATCCCACTTCCCCTACTAACAGCTTTTAGTGCCCTATGCAGCAAAGCAAAGTCTTTCTTAAGTAATCCAGGAAAGATTAATGGGGAGCAGTAAAGAGGGATCGTTAGAATACAAGAGTTGACAAACTGAGAAAGCAAAGACTGCTTTATACCAGACTGCCTTAACTTCCTAACGTAGAACGTCAAGCGAAACATCTTTCTAGTAACTAGCAAGATGTGAGAGGACCAGGAAAGATCGGAGGAAATACTCAGTCCAAGGTATTTGACATTAGATGTAGTTTCAATCTCTATGCCATCAATGATAGTGGGACCATGTGAGCTAGCTAGTTGTTGTAGGTCACGTTTTCGTCTGAAAGTGAAATTTACTACCTGATATTTAGACGGATTCAGCTTAGGACCGTTTGAAGAGGACCACTGACTAATTTCCGAGAGAAAGTATGCACGGACTGGGGTTCGATCCCAGGGCCTTCCGGTTACAAGGCAAGCTCGTATTCCATTCAGCCACTGGCCCATGAATTCTAACTTCTACCAATTCGTGTTTTTAGCGCGACCACCAACTAATTTCCTCGGCGGGAAATCCATCCTCATTCTTGTTATTATTTCAGCAGCAACTTGCTACAATATGGGCAACACGAGATGTGCCACACAAAACAAAAACAATAAGACACAGTATAAGGAAGAGAAATGGAGTAGCTGGGGAACAGAATTATGCAAACTCGCAAGCATACTTATTCAGGGGACTTATCACCGCATGCTACTCTCAGATTACGATTCTCAGCCATATTTGATAACAACTCAAGTCAGTGATTTGGACTGTCATTCGGGGTAGCGGTGCAACAAGAGATGCTAAACTAATGACAACTATTCTCTATCCCATGACAACACGTCATGGATTGAACACCACCTGTCCGCTCCTAACCGACCGTTTAGTTAGAGTTAATTAATTAGAAATATGAAGGAGTCACATCGCTTGCAGGAAACTTTCGTCATTATTGAGTGTAGAAATGCTACAACTAATTCCCATTCCATAGTAGTTTAACTAACGAATGAACGGTAGTTAGGTAAGTGGGTAAAGTGAGACAAAAAAAAGTGTGAACTACATTTACACTAGAAATTAAAGATATTTCATAATATCCTGTTACATTAACAACGATTTATTTACAGTTTTCCGCAAACCGTGTAAATAAAAGATTGTAGAGCACCAATATTAAGAATAAATCAGAGCAAACAATAATGGTCTGCTTAAATAACTAGGCTGCCCGATTTTCTTTCCATCAGAATTTCTCTCATTTACTCTATTTTATTTTATTTTAATTACCCAATTACATCTCTGAGTTGCAGTTTATACTCAAGCCCGTTTTCTACTTAGCAAGAGACCTAGGAACAGAGTCAAATACAGATGTGTAATCAAGGGAGGCACACCGAACATATTTGGCTCCTCTATCTAAACTAGAGACTATATTATGATGTAGAACAACAGCGGCATCTAAGGTACTCCTACTATGTTTATAGGCAAACTGGTTGGGGTCATTAAAAGGCTTTAAAGAGGGTTCAAGATTAAGTAAAATAAGTCTTTCCATAACTTTTAAAAAAGGTGAGGTAATAGCAATCGGTCGAAACTTAACAGTAGGTCCACTTGTTGATTTAGGTACTGGAACAACCTTGATATTTTTCCATGAGTCCGGAATAATACTTTGGGAAAAGGATTCATTGAAAATGTCGGTTAATGGGTAACATAAGATGTCAGCACACTTCTTAAGGATAACAGCAGGAACTCCATCAGGACCAAGGGACTGGGTAGGTTTCAGAGATTGAAGACAATTAAGGACATCGTTCGTGTTAAAACACGAGAAGCAGTCATTATTTATACTACTAGATTTGGGAATCATAACATCTGCAGGGATACATATGAAGGATTTATTAAGCATATCAACATCAACATGTGTATACATACCAGATCATTTCTTTCTTCTTTAATTTTCTCAAGCGTTTCTTCCAGTTCTAAATTACGTTGTGTCAACTGACTGACCATTGTATCAATGCCGAGGTAAGCATCCACTTGTTCTTTTAATTCAATAATTTGTTCAACACTATCTTTTAAATTTTTTGTTAATCGTTCTTTTTCTGTTTGAAGTTGACTAACTTCTGATTCTAAAGATGTAATCTTTAAAATACAAATAAACAAAATTAATTATTCAGTTTAAAGTTTGGTATTTCAAATTCTCATAAAAAGTAGGTAAATACAATGTGATAGTGTAGATTTCGTCGTGAACCAACATCAGTTAGGGAAATATTCAAAATCAAGGAGCTCCAGACAACTGTTTCGCACTTAATTAGAACTCCTCAGCAATACGCACTCACGTCCCCAACGGAGGTCGAATTCAGGACCTTCATGTCACAAGGCTGATTCCGATGACTATTTAGCATGCTGCTGAAGAACCACAAGTTGGGACAAAACCACTGTCTAGTGTTCTATGGTTTTTGATAATTTTTTTAACTGATATTGGATTGAGACGAAATATGCAGTAAAATTAATCCAAATCCCTACAACGAAATTCCCACAATCTCAATACGATATCAGACGTCAGTGACTGCGATGTCTGTTGCAAGCTATTTAATATTACAAAATAGCATAGAAGTGAGCTGAATTAGTATAAATGAATATACAGATAAAGCTGACTAACTTACTGATCTCAACATAGAACTTTGCACACATATGAGACAGTTCCAGTTGAATTAAATAATTAATATGACCCATTTCACAAGAGGTGGCCATCTTGGCCCAAGTGGTCTAGTGGATAACGCTTTGGCGTTTGGAGCTATGGGCACTGCGTCCGAGCCTCAATGGGGACATCATCACTCACTGCGGAATACAGCTAGATCCAATTGACGAGTCCCAAATAGGCCGAAATGCGCATCCTGGATTCTATTGCTAGTCACCATCCACCAATTAACTTCTATTTTCTGACTGTATAGTTCATTGTGATGGTGAAAACCTTACTACTACCATTAGTCGTCTAGTTTAAAGAAAGCAATAAGAGTGAACTGATCTAACTGGCCGTTACAGATATAATAGACAATAACAATAAATCAGCGATAAATGGCGGTTAAATGCACCAAGTACAACCAAAGAATCTCAGCTGATCTAACCTTCTCGAAATACCTTACTAATAGACACATTTTCATAGAGTTTACACGGACGTCCTACTAACAGCATTATTATGTGGAAGAAATTTTGCCACAAAAATGAAGGCTTGGTGAATATGGGGTACCATGTGACGAGTTTAAAACGCCTTGATTCCATACAGAATGTGTACAGGTAAAAATAGCTTACAGATTTGACTTAGTTACCAAAATTAAGATAAAATGCATCATGACATTGCTTTGCTTATTTTCGAATTGGACTTTACGTCACAGATTTGGACTGTCCCCATAACATTTCGAGCTTCACAAAAGTCGTAAGACAACAGAGGTAAATAACTCTTATCACATCATTCATCACTTCCATTTGCTCGACCATTCACTTTTAGGCTTTATTTTCCCACTCAGACAAACTGTTATCTCAGACTTAACTGTAAACTTTGATATTGTCTATGAGTGAGTTGATGTTAAAAGAAGAGTTGGAAGAATAAACGAAATTCAAAACACAGTTAAAGCCAATATGCGAACAATTCACAATACTCAGCTATACAGCTCCATTAATATTTATAACTTTTGGTAGCCTGTTTAGTGTTCTTAAAAAGTAGACTTGATTCGTGTACAGAATATTAATAAGTTTAGAAATATTGAATTGGTAAGTTGAGTGCATTCACTACTTATCTCATAAGTTAGAAAAACCTTTACTATGATAACAGTGACTAGCAGAGGAATGTAGGATGAGCACTTCGTCCTATTTGAGATTCATCATCTGGACGTACGTATGCTGGTGTTCCACTCAGACTAGAACCCTGCACCCGATGCGCTTTGATAAGAAGCTTGTACTGAAGATGTTGTTCGGAAGGAACATGAAAGTTTCGCAGTTTTAAAATCATCCAGCTCAAAGAACGCAAGAACATCAAAATTACAACTTTACCTTCATCGAGTTTCTTTCTTTGCTCACTGCATCATACATAAAAATTATTAAGCAGGAATTTACCTGTTTAGTTAAAGCTGAAATTTCCGATTTATCTTGATTAACCAAATCACGTAGCTTGACCAGTGCTCCTTTCATTCGTTCATTTTGTTGTTCAAGATTTTTAAACTGTAAGAGAGTTGGACCGCCTTCAACACCGACTGATACTGCACCCGCTATTTCCCACAAGAAAGAGAAAGAGAGATAACAACGTAGAATCCAATAAGTAACTAGGAACGCAATGTCCAGTAATTTATCTCCTTAAGTAAGAGAAAAATGTTGGCGAATTTCTAGACAAGAAAACGCAGTTACCCTTGATGTAGGAACAGAGTATAATTCCATATCATGGGATCATTTCATTCGATAAAATAACTCGACGTAGGATTCATAACAAGGCAGGAATTAGGGTGGAATTTAAACCTACAAAGTAACTCAGAGATTAAGGGACCCTATTAGACAAAACTATTTAATCAATATAATGACCTGCAGTGACTGTGAGATCAACTACAACTGTAAGACCAGTTGTTTGGTCAGATTATTGGAGCATACGAATTTGGCTTAGTGTGAAATGATGGACTTCACAAAAATGAAAATCACACAATACAATGGGGAGAGAGCTACAGTTCTAAAAAGTAATATAAATAGGTGGAGAGAAATCGAGCATTGAATTTTTCTTCATTTAATCTATAGGTAACACATGAGTAGGAATAACGTAACGCTGGTATACTGGAGATATGGATAAGAAATAATAGAATTACATAAACGAAGTTTAAAAGTTATGTGAGTGCCTTGATATAGTTGTAAGCAATAAATTGTTGTCGAAACGTCATCAGTAAAAAATGTTGCATCACTGTTTTTCTCCCCAAATAAAATTATTCTATAAAGGGACAGGGTGACCTTTTATATTTTTACATATTCTTCTTTACCAATCGGTAAATCTTTATCCTCAGAATTGAAAAATGAGTTTTGAGTAATGTCACGCACTGACAGTATTAGCTTATTTACGTGATTCCCTGCTGATAAATCTGACACGAATTGATCAGCTTCAGTTTGGTATACAGCTACAATTAACGACCTGGTACGGTCGACGGTGGGTAGACTTCAGTCTTCCTCTAGAAGTCGTCTCATGTGCTTACGCGTTTATAGCCTTTGATTACGTAATTCCTGTTTACTACCTTTAAGCTGCCTGGTTGAAAGGGCGAATCCGGACATCTGGCGCTAACAACTGGACTGATGAACTCATTCAGTAGATGCCTAAATACTACCTTGAAGTATATAAAATGACTTCTCAAAATACATGAACAACAAGTATGGAGATAGTTACCACAATAGCTCCTGAAAAGTAATGAGCACAATGTCAGTTGACAGTTCTGCGATTAGAGTAAAGCCGATAACACTGAAGAAAAAAAGTGAAATGTTTATCGAAGTTATAAATGACTGATAATAAAATACGATGAAATTGTTTTCACGATATGCCTGTGTCTCTACCTTAGTTGATTGACTTGTTTCGCAACCTGTGAGCTAACGTGGTTAATAGCATCTTATAGAAAGTTCAGATGGGTGGTTAGATCACATTCTGTGAGGTGTTAAACGAGAATTTTTAAGAGCTAAGATATCAATGGAAACACTGCTGTGTAAATCACTTGACTAGTACAATTTCCTTTTCAGTAGTTTATCCCAACTATAGTAGAAACTTTTCGAAGAGGCTTCAGATGCGTTCGCTCCATACTGCAGATTAAATGACAAGTAAGGATAAGCAAGCAACCAGGAGCACCGGCACGAAAAAACCACCCAAGATCATATCGTCCAACAAATATGCAGAGGAAAACATAAACGCATTGGACACAGGCTGAGAAAACTATCGAGTGACACATCACGTGCCAGACCCTCGAGTGAGATTCAAACAACAATCGATGAGTTGGGCACACGAGAGTGACATGAAGGAGGCCGTGTGAAGTGGAGATGAAAGTTATGAGCAATCGTGGGGCCAGCTACGACAGGCCGAAGGCGACAGGATGAAATATCGATCGATGTGTTGCTGAAGCAATATGTTCCACTAGGAACCCTAATGAATAATAATAACATATACAATAGAAACGATTTTAAAATAACCTTGAAACAACTTAAATCATTACTACTAACCTTTTTCTTCAAATTCTTCTTTCAAGATTTGATTCTCAAGAGTTAATTCTTCTACTTGTTCCTTAAGTAATTCAATTTCTCCAGTCAATCTTTCTAGTTTTTCTTCGGTCATTTCTTTATCTAAAGTGATCATTTCTATATTTTCAACCATTTCAGATACTTCTTCACGATAACGATCAAATGCTTCTTTGACTTCAGCTTTTTCCTCAATAGAGATTAATAATAAACACATTAGTGAACCAGGTTTTCAATGAAAATAGCTAGAGATGTATTTAGAAACTAAGGAGAGCTAACAGAGCGAGTATTTTCTAGCTTGGCACTTTTTACTAATGCAAACACATGACTGCATGGAGCAATGAGCTCAGGATCATTGAGTTACAAGATGCGAGTGTTATCATTGAACCAAACGGTTAGCATGCAATCTTTGAACTCAGTTCCTGGAAGGGGTGTTTCATATTCCAGGGATTATGAGTGACACTTATTGTGTAAGGGTTAATGATACTGCCCAGTTACCCGCTCTAGGTAGGCACAGTGGGATTCGAACTCGAGGCCCACTGGTCAAAAGTCAAGTGCTTAAATCAATGAGCTAAGTTTGCCTTGCATGTCCTCAATTCATTAGCAGAAGAAATCAGTGCAAAACTTATGAGAGTAATTCACTCTGGAGAAGTTATTACTTTTAAAAGCAGTTACTTCCTTTCATGAATTTCGACAACAACAAAAAAAAATAAGACGCAGTTTGTTCTATCTGAAACATGTAATGCATTCACGTAACACATTTCGGACATTCTGATCACACGGCCTCCTTGTCAATACATATTTATATTAAAAACTAACTGACCATAAAGGCTCAAAACTCTACCAATGAGTCAAGGAGTCATGATCACAGATAATGAGGTAGGAGAATCATACACACACACACACACAGAACACGTCGACTTTTTGATGGTTGGTATGTATTAAATGGCAGTAAAAAGATCACCAGTTTCTGCACATCACTCTGTGAGCAAGTAAACGGACAAAATTCACATTGGTAGAAGTGTTTCCACTATATTATTAGTATTCGCTATCTGCAAAATGTGATTACTAGCACTACTCTTTTTGACGTCAACTTTGTCATTACATACAGAGTGGGTAGACATAGGTCCCATAGATTGTACAATTGCGAAATTACACTAATCTATTATTAACATGGGTCGTGGATGAGAAATAGTACGAAAACAAAGTGCAGTGGCTATTTGTGGTTCTATAACTGAGAACCATCTTTTTTAAACTGGAACTGGGAACAGTCAAAACTCAAGTGTTAGCAGTCAACAACTTCATGTTGCATCATCAATAGCTTACTCCATATAGGGTCATTTTCAGGTTATCAATCGATTTTGATTAGTTATCGCCATCGATTGAGAATATATTATCTCCTTACAGTTAGTCAACTAAGAGAGTTCACAAACTTTTCGTTCATACAATTTTATGATTTATTTACAGTGGTTTCAATTTTTAAAAGAAACATCTCCCAGTAGAGCTATGTAAAGGTGTAGTGAAAACCATCAACAGTTCGATATTTGATCATCTGGTCCAAACCAGCCACAAAGCCAGCATTGAAGAATCCTTCTCTATCATCTACCGTGTGCCAAATAAATTGCCGAAAACAGCGAAGTACCGCATGCTCCAAACAGCAGAGGCTATTTCAATTCGCCTCAAATAACCAGTGCTTTGTGTGCAAAAGAAGCAAGTCCAGCCACTACTATTGCCCCGGCCTTTAGTGGAGATTATAAATCCATGAATTTGTATTATTATCTTTACTAATTTTTCTGACATTTAGTTTATTGTTATATTGATGCTATTTAACTATAATCTATTGATATTCGTGGTTATTTAAACATTAATGTTGTTCACAACACTAATTCATTCATTCACTATAATGTATATATAACTGCAGAGCCTGATGATGAAGTTATCGAAAAGAGTATTCTTTGTTCAGTATCCATTCTTTGGAAACAGTAATGATAGTGACTTCAAAAGAATAATTTAAGCTCCAAGTACAGTTCACCAACCCAACAAAATTGTTAAAATCAATATAAGAAAGAAAACCTACTGTTTTTAATTGAGCACTTTCACGTTGTAATTCAGCTGCTTGTTGTCGGATCCGACGTCGATTCTCTTCAACTTGTGAAAGCTGAATTTTAACACGTTCTAATTCTTGTATTCTATTTCTATCTTCTTCCCGTTTAGCTTTTAAAGCATCAATTTGTTCACGAAATTTGATTACTTCAGCACGTAGATTTGCCAGTTCCAACTCTGTGTCTGGGATGTACTTACCAGTACCACTTGGAACAGCTGATACAGATGTTTCTGGTATTTTTTGAGACGTATCTCTAAGTTCACTTGGTGCATTTTCAGAATCCACCTTCTGCGCAGCCGCTTCTACATCACTAAGTGCTGCTGTTGTTTGTGAGATTTCTGAAGGATTTATTGGCATTTTAATACCAGTAGGGATAGGCGGTGTTGATGTAGTAGTGGTAGTAGAAGTGGGGAGTTTACTCCCACTTATCATCTTACGAGTCGGACTATCCGATTTTGAAATTTGTGTGTAAGATTGACTCATTATGTCTGATGCACCAGGTTTATCCGCAGAAGGCTTACTAGAAGGACTTTCAATTTTTGCAGAGGCAGTTTCAGGTTTTAAAGCTGTTGATGTTGGAGCTGGACTACTTCGTACAAGGTCTGGATTAGATCCAGTTGGTGGAAGCTATAAAAGTGAAGAAAAAATGAGTAAAAGTATGGAAAGTGATGGTTTGACATGCGCTGCTTCAAAAAGGAATTGGCGCTCAAAACAACGCCTACACTGACACCTCAAGTGATATGACTGAAGGATTAGTGCGGAACACTGCACAACACTTCATTAGTTCATGGTGCTACACTTCAAAGCACCACATAGAAACTCCAATGCTGAGTGCAAAAATTTACCACCAAGAAGAGAAGCAGATATACCTTTTGTAATTTAGCAAAACACGAGATAACAGAATAAACTGGTACT